GAGGTGTGTATCAACATGCCTGGCTAGGAAGGGTCATTTCTTTGTCACCACAGGACCTCTGGGCCTCAGGCACAGGATTCCAGCCCTGCATTCACTCCTGGTCCCCATCTGCAGGTTGCCTCATCTGTGTCCCAGCCCCGGGAACTGGTGCACTCAGTCACACTCTCAAAACCAGTTCCCACTCTGGAGTCCCCAGGAAGAGCCCTGGCTGCTGGGCTGGAGGGGGCGGAGGCTGCTGAGAGGCCACCCCGAGGGCAGAGGATCAAGGTCTGCTCCTAAAAGCAGAGGGGCCCCTGGGTACAAAGCCCAGAGTTGGGGCCCCGCTCAGTGCCTGTCTGGGGCTCCTTCTCCGCCTGCTCACTGCAACCCAGAAGGTACTATCATTAACTTGAAATGGGGAGCTGGGCACGGTGGTGCATGCCTGTGACCCCAGCACTTGGGTACATAGTGAGTTCAAGACCAGCCTGAACTACATAGCGTGACTTTGCCTCAAAAATTAAAACTAAAAAAAAAAAAAAATTGAAATGGGGTCCCAGCTCCACCACGGAGCCTGTTTACTCCTCTGTAAAATGGGAACCCTAATACTTTCCAGAGCAACCCCTCCAGGGACCCAGCCCTGGGCCACAGGGCCCAGGTGGAGCAGATCCACAGGCCCCTCAGGTGTAGACAGCCCGGCCCACAATGCACCTGGCCGGCTGGCCCTGAAAAGGCAGCCATTCAGCCCTGGCTTGGACCGGGGCCGGGTGGCGAGAGACGGGAGCCCTGTGCCCTGAGAGAAGGGAGCCTGGCGTGGCCTGGGCACTGCAACCAGGAGGGACTGGCAGCCAGAGGGAGGATCCGGGAGGGAAGACTGAGCTAGTGTTTGAGCCGAGGGGCTGAAAAGCGGCTGTGTCCCACGCCGGCCCTGGCAGGCAGAGCTGTGAGTGCCCGGGCCGAGGGCAGGTGCAGCCCGGGCACAGCTGTTCAGGACCAGGCCCCCCGGTGTGAATGCGCCAGTGTGAGTCGGGAAGGCAGGGCTGAGGGTGGGGCCGCAGACGACACCTCTGCTCTGGCTGTGGCCGGCAGACCTGGCCTTCAGCCCTCCCCACCCTGTCTCCCTCCCAGGTGCTGCCCCCCAGGAAGACAGAGGGCCCACAATGCTGCGTGTACCCACTGTGCTGGTGAAGGTGGCAAAGGAGGGCGTGATCCCAGGAAGGCGAGGAAGCACCTGGAAGGGCCCTTAGGGTGGGTTTTGAAGGACAAGCAGAAGTTTTCCCAATTCAGAAGGGCACAGAACATTTGAGCAGAAGGAGGCTGGGGTCTGGAGAGGGGAGAAGGCCAGGGTTGCTGGGGGCAGATGTGGCTGCTAAGGGTGCGTGGACAATGCCCAGAGGATCCTGGGAGGAGAGACACAGTCAAAGGAGGCTGCTCGGCCCACACTAGGGAGGCTGAGGCAGGAGGATCGATGAGAGTTCCACATCAGCCTGGGCCACATCGTGAGTTTAGGACTACCCCTGTGTCTTAGCTCTGTCGAGAACTTGTCTCAAAAAACCAAAACCAAAACCAAAACCTGTCAACCCAAAGAGGCTGCTCAGGAATGCAGAAGGGACCTGCCTGGTCCCGAGCCTATTCCCAAAATCTTGCCAGACAGGGCTTCATAGGCAGCAGAGGATCTGGCTTAGGAAGGTCTCTCCCACCCAGGAAAGGCCGTGGGCACGAGTGTGGATGTGTACGCAGGTGTGCATCTGTGCGTGAGAGAGACAAGTGTACATGTGTGTTCTCTGTGCACGCCTCTCTGTGCATCTGTGTCGGTGGCCTGTGTACAGGCTGTGTTCCTCTCTGCACAAATGTGTCCCGAGGTGCATGTGCTCCTTCTCTGCCTGCGTGGCTCTGTGGGTACTGGGTGTGCACACTTGTGTGTGTCCCTGAGTGTATCCATGTGCACCCACCGAGAGCCTGGGGTGCTGCCCAGGACACAGGCGGCCTTCGGGAGCATCAGTCTGGCCTCCCTGCCCTGGGTCCCGGGCTTCTTTGGACTCTGGCTTCTTTCTGGCTGCCCAGCTTAGCCTCTACAAAGCCATGTGTGTCCGTGGCTGTCACCCAACCAGGTGGTGGGTGCCGGCCACAGGCAAGGGGCAAGAGAAGTGCGTGTGGACTGTAGCCAGCTCTCCCAGCCTTCCTCTGTCCAGCTCAGCTCTTGAGATCTGGGATTCCTCTGCCCAGTCTTTCCAGCCACGGACAAAGCCATGGCCTGCTCCTACCCTCCAACACTCATCTGCCTCCTGCCTCCGTCTCCGCCGCCTCCCTGCCTCCACTGCTCTTTGACGGCCTCTTCCTCCTCTTCCCAGCCCTGGGAGGGAGGACCCACCCCAGGGAACTGTGTCCCCTGCTCATTCTCCTCCTGATTCCCTGGACCCTGGATGCAGATGCTGCCCTGCCTCAGTGGGCTGTGGTTCTGGGGACACCAGAGCTGGGACAGACCCATTTCTCCTCTGTGCAATCCTCCAGCACCAGCCTGGAGGTCTCCTTGTCTGGGGTCCCCTCCAGCGCTGCCCTCCTTGGTGCGAACTGGGGACCTGCAAGGAGCAGACAGGTCTCCACCCCATATGTCCTCATCAGAGGGCCAGGTCCACAGAAGTCAAGTCTCAGGAAAGCTACCCACCGAGCAGCTCCATCGCTGCAGGGAAGCACCCCTCAGGGTGGATTCAGGGGCGCACTGACCTATGTCCCACCAAGCCACATGGCGATGGGGCTCAGGATGCACCAGAGAAAATTCTGGGCCTGACCCTGCTCCGCAGCGTGGCCGAGCCCTGCCAGGCACAGAGCTTCAGCAGCACTCTTCGAGGACAGAGCTGACTGCAGCCCTGCTGCTAACGCCCAGACCTTCCCCCGAGAGCACAGAGGCCACTGTAAAGCCAGGCTGTGCTGCCCCGGGACTGGGACATTCGCCCATGGTCTTCCGAACACGAAAATGAACCCACACACTCACAGCCCACCGTTTGGGCAAGGCGAGGACAGCAGCACAGTTCTGAACCACGGGCAGGGCCGGCCTCTCTCCAAGGGGACGCGGGCTCCTCGCGTTCTCCTTTTGGTTCCCTCTGGCCCAAGCCCGCCCCACTGTGTCCCCTGGTGGGTCAGATGTCTCCCCATACCTTCCCCGTGCTGTGGCCACCAGCAGGGTCTGGCTCCTCGGAAATGGGGAGGAGGGAGTGGAAGGGAGGCTCCAAAAGAGAGGACGGGACGAGGGGAAAGGGAAAGGCCTTTTGGAGTCCTCCGGAGCGGCAGCTAAAAGAGGCCCCTTCCAGGGCAGCAAGTTGAAGGCACAAAGATGCAGATGCTCCTCCCTGTGATTCACTCCCTCCCCTGCCCCAACCGGGGCTGCGGGCAGCCCAGACCCCACCTGCAGGCTGGCCTCGCTCAGCCTCCCCAGTTCTGAGCCGGTCCACAGCTCCGCCCACAGGGTTGACAGGGGGCATGGGCCACGCAGGGCAGCTCAGGGCCCCCACCCTCCCTCAGGAACTAGAGTGCCTGTCATTCATTTCCCCATTCTCACAGACCAGATAATTACATCGTGACAAACTCTCTGGGTGGCCTGGATTCTACCAACAAACCCTACTTCATCCTGGCCATCTCCCCCACCACACCCCATCTTTGAGCCTTCCTAGTGCTGGGGTCTTGTGGGGTGGGCCAGATAGTAACGATCCAAAAGTCGGCAGTCACCCCCGCCGTCACCATGATGCTCGCTGGGCAGGACACTGATGTGCGCAAGCCATTTCAGACAGCTCTGCACTGACAGGAAATTGAGGCCTCAGGGGGATTAGCCATCTACCCCAAGTGGCAGCCAGGAAGTACAGGGTACGGACCCAGCCCCCACCAACTCCAGTCCCCGACACTAGCTCACCACCCCTCTCAGGGACAGCTGTGTCCAGCCTCCCCCAGTGCCTCAAGACATCCCAGGTGACAGGTGAGCCCTCAGGCCAGGAACTGCAGCCCTAGCTGTCCCTCAAGGGGGCCGGGTCCAAGAGCCGGGCTGTGCCTGGGAGGGTCGGGCCCAACTGGGGGCTACAGGGACCAATGGGGTTGTGACTGGGCCTCACTGGCAGGCAGCCTGGCCAACGGACTTCAGGCTGCAGCAAGCCTTTCCTCCTGTCTGGTACTTCAGGTCGGTGATGACCCAGGTTCTTCTCTGGAATTTGGCCTTCGCATGCCCTGATCATAGCTTACAACATCTTGGGAAATTCCACTGTACCTCAAGTTTTTCCTTCCCCTCCAAGAGAGCCGTGAGCTTTTAGAAAAGGGTAAAAGGGCTCCTGACACCCGTGGGACACAGCTAAGGCCGTGTGCCCCCAGGGCAGGAAAGTGGCTCACAGACTCGGAAGGCCTCTCAACCTGGTCTTGCCCTCTCTGCACCTCCATTAGTCAGGGATAATTAGCACACAGGCTTCCACTGCCAAGTGAGCCATTCTCACCCAGGGCCTAGAGTACTGTGTGAAAATTACCTCTTATCAACAGACCATAAAATGCTCATTTCAATTCTATAGGCTCTCCGCTCACTCCAGGATTGAACTCAAGAATCACTAAGCCACATATCGGGCTCTTTTATTTTTTATTTTCACACAAGGTCTCCTTAAGGATACTCAGGCTAGCCTTGAACTTGCAACCCTTCTGCCTCAGCCTCCTCAGTAGCTGGGATGACAAGCATGTGCCTCATTTCTGTGGTCACGTTTGAAGCTCTGTATACTCAGTCCTGGGACCCCCAACGTGGAACAGGACCAGAAGGGCTGCAGGAGGCCAGGAGGCCACCAGAGGGCCTTGTTGGAGGACCCTCCAGGTCACCTGTCTGGGACATCACCCTGCAGCCTGGGCCAACACGCCCGCTCCCGCTCCCTAGTCTACATCTGTATACAGCCCATTGCCCAGGCAAGCAGATCAATAAAGGCTGGGACGAAAAGGGTTGAGTGAAATATTGCTGCTGGATGAAAAGGCATTTCACTTTGTTTCTGAGGAGGCCCGGGGCCCGGATGGCGGCGGCGGCCCTCCCTCGGGCACGGGCACGGGTACGGGTACCCTCAGAGTGGAGGAGGAGCCGCCCGAGGCCAGGGGAGCCTTCCAGAGCTATGGCCGGGGCTGGAGTCCTAATCCGGCAGCCTGGTCTCCCGCCCCTTCTGCCCGGGAAGTGGCGCCTTCGCTCCCGACCCAGCCCCTCTTCCTCCGAGGCCCGGCCCAGATGCGGGTGCCCGGCACCGGCAGGAGAGGGGAAACGGAGTCCG